TATTTGGGACTGATGCGGCTCTGGAATCAGGCTGGTGGGAAGGCTTCTCTCAAGGAAAAAGCTTCTCTTTACATAATGGTGATCAGGAGTGGGATGATGAATTTCCACGTAGAATGACAAAAGCTTTAAAGTAATTTTAGAAACAGAAGAACTGAGAGAAGCACAGATTTTTGGTAGCAGCATTTTCTCAGGTGGGCTCTGTTTTGTTAGCGGCAAGCAGAGACTTGCGGCTGGCTTAAGTTAGGCTTTCTGACTCAGCATTAAAAAAAAAAAACCAGCAAGGTTGTTTTAAGAGGCTCTGCTAATGATTGAAAGGTCTGTACATACAGCTAGAAGTGGCAGTGACCCAGTGACCACATCTCCAAGCCGGCAGCTTTTGCTGGATGTTAGACTGTGACGGTGAGCTGGAATCACGCTTACGCCTGCCATCTTGGAAAATCTGCAGTTTAAACAGCCGCGGTTTTACAGATAAGACACATGGCCAGAAAAACATAAAGATTTACAGTAAAGTCAGACTTGGATGAACAAAACCTCTAATGGTTTACAGTGTGTTTAAAAATATACATAGGATTGAGAGAGAAAAAGAAAAACGAAAATAAAATAGAGAAGCTGGCTGTGGTGGCGCACGCCGGTAGGATTTGCTGCAGAGGCAGCGGCAGGCCGATTTCCAAAGAGAAACCCTGTCTCAGAGAAAAATAAATAAAGTAATAATAGATAAATAAGCCACGTAAAGATGGAAAATACACAGAGAGTCTGGATACTGTACGCTATTGTGTTTTTCAGTTTTTTAATTGCTCAGGAAGGAACAACTGCTAAAGTACACTTGATTATAAATGCTACTAAATTAATTCAACTTATATCTTTTGAAAATGCCTTGACTTCAAAATTTAAGTATAAGGATATGTTACTTGGAAAAGGAGTTTTTATTTATGTTTCAACAGAAAATGAAAAGCTGAGGATTCCTTCCAGGCTTCTGTGGTTTGATGAACCAAGACCCCCGGAAGCAGTGGATCAGATGTTCCAACAATTGAAACAGCTAAGATGATGCAGTCTTACAGCCCCCAAAAATAGAGACGTATACAGGCTTCTGAGTTTTGTCATTATCCCCATGGTATAAACAGCGCCCCCTTCCAGCACGAAGCAGTTCGGAATGAGTGACATCCTAATTCCCATCTTGTTTATAAACCTTTGTTTTCATTTATATGGGATTGTTTATAATTGGTCAATGATCACAGCCAATCTCCTTTTAATGGTAAAAAGGGGAATTATGGTATGGGTATGGTTTTTCATTTATTGATACAAATTCAAGGTCAATTTTGTGGTGTGTATATTTCTCCTCTTGATTAAATATTGTGCTTATACTGATCTTTTAAAATGTAATGTGTAATTAAATACAGATTATAGATAGTTACTTATAATAGTCAGAACTTATAGTTAGGTAAGTTAAGTTTTCTAGATTTATAGAGAGGTATTTGAGACAGATAGATAGTCTTCAAACCTTTCAAAGACCTTCAGAAAATGGCATTTAAAATGGCTTAGGGTTTTTCTTGACAATGAGAAATGTCTGCTCCTGGCATCACCAATTACATCTGAGAGGAAGATGGGCATTGAAGAAACTCGTTATGTAGTTTGCTTTCAACACAGCAAGATGAACCATTTGGGCAAGAAACTGCTCTTGCCTAGACTGTTTGACTGTTGCTGTATAAACTGGACATGCAGGACCCACAGAAAAGTGACTGCTGAACTCAGTCTTACAGGGTTCCTGCTTCATGGAAGAGTCTACAAGACTTTCTGCAGGACAAAGAAAAATGACTGACAGACTGCCAATGCAGATGGACAGTTTGAAATTTCCTGCTTTGCTGAGAAGTCTTCCAGACACATTGTGGCCTTATGGGCTGAAGATGGATGCCCCAATGTTACAGAGGAACTCCAGGTGACTGTCCAGGAAGCAAGATGTCTCTGTCAATCCTAGTGTTTATATATTATCCTTCTGTGGTCTTTGATGGAGTTGAAGACAGATAGTTATAATTATAGTTTTCCTTAGTTATGATAAAAGATAAGCTACATATAGGACTGTGGACTCACAAGAATGAGATAGATGATATTTTCTTTAAATCTTGCTAAATGTTAATAGACAAAATATTGTAACTATGTTCTTACTTGATAACTGTTCTTTTATATATAATTTGACTATGTTAAAGTTAAGACCTTTCTTTTTGTTTAGACAGAAAAGAGGAGATGATGTGGGAAGTCCTGTGATTATGTCAATAAAGCACTGTTGGGCCAATAGGAATCTAGATAGGTGGGACTAGGAGTCCAGGAGGACTCTGGGAAGGAGAAACACAGAGAGTCGAGATGTAACGCCATGGGGTAGGAAGCCCTGAAACTTCTCCGGTAAGAGACATACTTAGATTAACAATTATGGGGTAATTACTTAAGTCAGAGCTAGCCAGTAAGAAACAAGCAAGGCCAACAGTTTCATAATTGATATAGCCTCCTGTGTGTTTATTTGGGACTGATGCGGCTCTGGAATCAGGCTGGTGGGAAGGCTTCTCTCAAGGAAAAAGCTTCTCTTTACACTCATCCTGCAAGCATCTTGAGCTTCCAAAACCCCAAGAACTAGGCAGCGGCAGAGAATTTAACTAGGAAGCCTAAGGCTCTGGGTTCAGTCCTTAGCAGTGTAACAATAAATAAATTCAGAAACAAATAAAAACCAGATATCAAAAAATCACAAATAAATATTTGTATTTACTAAGCACCTACTATGTGACTCACAACTTTTCCCAAAAGTTGAAGACAAGTCAAAATAGCACCCCAATTAGCTAAAAACACCATCTAATTATGATTGAATATACCAAACCAGCTCATAGGATTCATAGCACATATTTAAGTCCTCAATTGTTCAGTGGTTACAGAGACTGCATTGCATAAGAGCTCGGAGGTTGGCAGGAAGAAATGAAGAGTTTCTGGGGGGCCATGAAGAAGTGTCAACCCAATGTGACCTTGCTTGGGAGAACAAGCCTGCTTTAGAAAGCTCTGGGGACAACAAAGAGTCTCCTTGATAACTTACTCAGAAGGGGAGAAGACTGAACAACTTTGCTAAAACAATAAAGTCTGGGGGATGCTGCTCTTTGTTTTTAAAGTGGGGTGGGTGAGAATCAGAAAGGAATGCTGAACCCCAATTACCTCCAAAACCAGGTTAGGAAAACAGCACTGTCACAGGATGCCTTAGTGGGGCAGGGGGGTGGGAGGATAAATTCTGCCATTAGCTATGTGTGGGGTATCAAGTGGCACACTGGATTAGTGAGCATCTTCTCTTCCATGGAAGTTGCAGCATATTAGGAAGGAATTCTTGCTCCATTTCTGAGGTTCTCTTTAACATCATCACTTGGATGTAAATGGAGACATGGTGCTAATAACATCCCAGCTCGCTTCCAGCTCGCGAAAGCTTCGAATGTACCTATCCATATACACAAATGCCCTCTCCCCTCCCAGAAATTCACACAGAGATTCCAGAATTATACTTAGCTGCCTGATTAATTACTGGACCTCCATGGAAATTACTGTCAAGATTATACAATCATTCCATCTCTGGTTCTGCTTGATAAACATTTACAGTTTAACATATTTGGCAAAGCCATTTATATACTGCTATAATATAAATGAAGGTAGATTAAAGCTACAATAAGTCTATGATATTCATAGCCTTAAAATAACTCACTAACTACAGACAGTACCCTGAGCAATTACAAGATGTTCTATGTTAATTTAGAAAGGAATTCCAAACAAGTCATTTAAAACCTAATAAGATGCCATTAAAAGAAGGGGGACAGGGGAGGGGGAAGCTAAAGAAAACCCTAAGGCTTGAACCAGTAGAAATGATTCTCAGAGCTACTGACCCTTGCAAGATCCATGCTTTACTTGGGTTTCTAGACACGAGGCAGATTTCTAATTGAAGGTGATTATCTAGTTACTACATCCCAAATTGCACACATTTCTTGTATTGGTTCACACTCACAACTAATTAGATGGAGCATTTATCAATCTGAAAGTCCATGGAAACGATTGCATTGATCTACAAGCTACATATTGAAAAGGAGCTGTCTGCTGAGAAGTGCTATATACTGGTCCTGATGCCACCAACCCCTGATGCTCACGTGCATCTATGGGCTGAACTGTGAGGCTGATCCACTGGGGTGAATTCACAGAGGGATCACAGAACAAATAACTCGGTTTGCTCGTGGGTTTTCAAAAGTGTGGACACCAACATGTATGGCAGCCATTCCCCAGAAATAGGTACACTGAGACAGTCACCATCACCACAAGGAAGACACAAATAGCAATATACCATTCAAAAGACAGATTCCTAGCTAGCATATTTTATATCCACATACTTCTGAACTCCACACCTCCAATCAAAGATGGGGGGATAGCCTGACTGAGGAAATAAAACAGCAAAAAATATATAGAGACGTCCACAAAGGCACAGATGCACCTCGGTAAAATATAGCTCCTATTAGTTGGGTTAATTAAGATTAACACACAAGTCGTTGGGAACCCCCAAAGTAGATGAAAGGTAATTTACCAAGGAAAGACATAAAGACAAGAGTAGTATTCATTCCAAGTGACTCATTAACTGCATTGGTGGGCTGAGGCTCCTTCTTAATACTGAAATTGTCATAGCCGATTATCAAAATGGCATGAGACCAAATAGCTTACAAAAGGAAAACTACAACTTGCTTGCACAAAGAAAATATGCAAGCGAACCTAATCATGTATGTTACAATCACTTCCTAACATAGACACATGCAACGGGTTTTCTTCGGCATTCATATTGCTTCTATGGCAATGATAACCTCCCTGCCAGTTGGACACTTAGAGCAAACCCTCACACTCACTCCCACAGGAGAACTGTCTCACACGGCAGGAGGTTGTATTCCGAGCGTTCGGACAACAATTGTGTGAAATCTATTTTGGCTGGAAAAGCACCCTTCCCTTACCTCCAATGTCATGTTCACAGTGCTGACAGCCACTTTTATTTCACCATCTGACAGCTCCTTTAGATCTTTCAACATTGTTTGTTCAATACTTAAACCTGTGGATGACAAGAGGGGAAAAATTTATACTTGGGACCCATTATAAAAATACATGTCAGGGGGTTATTTAAAGACTTTATTCTACTAAGCTCAACATTTTATAGCATCATTTTATCAGTAATAAATACACACTAAGTCAAAAATCACATTTGTGGCCGCATCTACATTAGGTCAGATGCAGGCAGGAAATAGAATTTACCCCTCATGGTGCAAAAGGAGGTTTTTAATGACATGGCACTTACAGAGGGGTGGCGGGATAAAGGAGAGAATGAAGGATGAATCGGCCACAGACCAGCAAAGAGCAAAGGCAAGGGAGCTAGGACTTGAGAAAAGAACCTTCGGGGCCTGATCTTCCAGCAAGAGTAGAGTAGGAAAGGTGTGCCCAGCCCTGGCTGCCTTCCTTCTGCCCTCACTACTCTTCCCACTGACCAAACAGAAGCCAGAGCCAGGGAGCTTGAAACAGGCCACACTTGGGCACCGGCCTCCAGAGGCCCAGAGCAGGTATGGTGGGGAAAGAGTGGGCTGTCTTACCATATAAACTAGTCAAGTAATAGCTCAAAAGGTCCAAATTAGGTGACCCTCTGTAATTTTATAATTGCCAGTATAATTTTATGTGAATTGTTTTATGTAGCTCATGAAACTGTCATAATTGAGCCAGGTGTGGTGCTGAACGTCTCTAATTCCAGCACTTTGGAAGCACACACAGGTCCATCTCTAGGAGTTCGAGGCCAGCCTGGTCCCTACATAGAGAGTTCTAGGCAAGCAAGCTGGGTTGCATAGTGACACTTTGTCTAACACAAATGAAAGCCATCTTAATTGAGCTAGCTACCCCTGTTAACAGTCTCTGGAAGTACCCATTATTGAATTCCTTACTTGAAGGCAGGAATAATCTAAAGTGACAACGTTGTTTCTTTCTGGATGTTTATGAAGCCCACGCTGCCAGTAGAGAGCATGATGCATCACAGCAACATGGGGAAACAGATGGCTACTTGACATTCTCATTTGACTCAGAGTCAACTGTGGCATGTTTTCATCTCTCGAGTACATTGGAGCAACAGCAGCCTGGGGTGGTTCAGAGGATGAAGGGAGACATACACCACTGTGCACCTGTGCATTGGCATGCACCCACACTCATGAACAGATACTTACCTGTGTATGTGGCAGATACAGACAAGACCCTGCCAACATCCCTAACCTTGTGTTATCTCACTTTGGCCAGCATCACACTCCACAGGCAATCTGAGTTCTTGCTGGCCACTAGACCCTACTTCTGAGGATTTGCTCTCCCCTGCACTAGGAAGTACTCATTGTTTCTGTGGTCTGCTGATTTAACAACTAGACCTAGTTTATAGAACTTTGTTTCTGTGGTACTAACGTACCAACCAAGACTAATTTCAAACTGTTAACCCAATATTAACCAACTTACAAAATTCCAAAAACTACCAAGCCTTAAGGTTTGGATGCCCTGTGCCCAACCATCAGTACACTCTACAAGGGACCAGGGGAAAATTTTGTAATTTAGTATTTTCTCCTTAAAATCAGAACTTCTGGGTTTAGATCCTACCCAGCTCACTTGCTACAGTTGTGTATCTGTGGTTCAGTATTCTCATTTGGAAAATGGGGTATCGTGTGGCTTCAGGAAGATCATCCTTGCAAAGCTATACTATTGGAACATTGTGCAGATTAAGCTCTCACTGAAACATAACTTCATTATTAACAACAGTTGATCAGATTATCCACTCTCCCAAAAGCCTAGATTTAGAGAACAATTTCATTGGCTTAGCCATCTTGTCTCCATTTCTTCTAATGAAATCAGAATCACATAATCCAATTGTGTTTGGCACTGCCCCAGCAACATTCTCAAAACATAACTTAATCAGCAGGTGTAGACACCGTATGCATTAGCCCATGGATTAGCTAAACATTCAGACAGAACCTGGACAAGGGGTTCCAACATAAGATGCCCACTTCCATACCAACAGCACAAATCCAGAAACCCCTCCACAAACACAGAATAAATGGGAAGGAAGTGTGAGCACACTCAGTTGACCTCTTGTGAACACTCTACAGGCAAGCTACCCCTTCTGGAAGCAGTGAGAGAGCTACGACAATCACTCACCCTGAGCATTGAGCTGGGTCTCCTGCAGCACACTGATGATATCATCTCTAGGAGGCAGGTTGGGAAACTGTTCTTCCAGGATGGAGAGAATGTCCTCCTGCTTCTCTGGGAGCTCAGGATCCATGGTCATCCACTTGAACAGGATGCTGCCTGAAAGGCATGGGTACAAATGCTCTTGAGTTCTCTCTCCATCAGCCAAGACAGGAATGATAAAAATCAATGTCTTTATGCTATAGGTACTGGCCTTAATAGCCGCACTGGTCCCTACACTCCAGGGTGCAAGTTTGGGAAGAAAGACCAAGACATCTCCACACAAACACCAAAAAAGGAGATAGCCTTGGTTTTAAATGATTTCAAAACAGAAATTAATGGCAAATTACTCACAGATTTTGTCAATCCTATCCCCTTTGGGGGGATGAGAGAATATTCTTCCAACTTGCCGTACTACTGATTTTATATATTAATTTGCTTCGACACACAGTCTGATAGCCTGGCTAACCTGAGGACTGTTTCTAGCCTTTCAAGAACCACACATAGCTTTGAAGTAATTTACAGTTATCAAAGTATACAGTCTCACAGGCTGGCTCTAAACTGCAGATTGAGGTTACTAATTTGCTTCTCTGATTTTAGTGGAAAATATTTTAAAAATTAGCCCAAGGAGTAGGAGGCAGGTAATAATAATAATAATAATAATAATAATAATAATAATAATAATAATAAAACAGTCTTACTGTCTGTATTTGTGTTCTAGGACCAACGGGAGGTCTTTTCAGAGTTTTAAATAGGAGGAGCAACACTCTCACTTACATTTTGTATTTTTGTACTCTGGCTATTCTTCACATGGTTGTGGAGAATAAAATAAAAAAGGAAAGCTATGGAGCCCAGCTGGTTTTATTCTCTGTTTCTGTGTTTACAAACATCATCTGATCATGTAGAAAATGGGACAGATTTAGTAGAAATGACCCATTAAAAGTGGAGGGTGACCAAAGAGATTTTGAGTAGATTTTGGATGTAAAATCTAAAACACAAAAATGATTTTCCCTTTTGTTTTTAAGGCAAACACAAACCCAAATTTCACAAAAGATCAACAGCTTCTAGATCTGGTAGACCAGTTGAACAAGAACAAAGTTCTAAGCACAGACACAACACAAACTGTGAATGTGTTAGAGAGCCTCCAGCAGCACCTTAGGAGCAAGATGGTGTAAGTGAGATATAGGCATGGGAAGTTAAGGCTCACTAGACTCAGTACAGGTGAAGTGAAGTTTATTTGGGGAGAATGCACTTACACAGGAAACAGATGACTGCCGTGGGTTCCCGCTCCAAGGATACTGACCTTGTCACCTGGATGCTGTCCATGACCTGAGCAGGAAGCAAGAGAGAGCTCCGAGCCCCAAACCTAGTCCTTATCAATGGTCATGTCTGCATCTGTGACTACGCTCAAATGGACATGGTCTGTGCTGCAGGTGTGGAGGTGAATATCTCTACAATTCCCCTTTTAGTCTAAAAAAGAAGATTCAGGCTTGATACAAAACTATATACAATGATAGCAAATATCAAGTGTGCCCCAGGAGAAGGAAAGGTAAAACATACACAGTTTAGGACCTACTACCAGTGAAGCAACATAGAGCAACTGGCATGAACTACATATCCAGTCCTAGGGTAAAGGCATAACAGAGGTACTACAAAGTTTTCATAAACTGGAAAGTTTAAGTCTTGTACCTAATATTTCTACCTAGAAAGAGAGAACAATAATTGTGACAGTCTAATCTTCAATCTAATCAAAGACCTGAGAAAAAGGATAACAATACTAGGGTGGGCAGGAAGTACAAGCAAGAGACTTCTGAAAGGTGCAAGCCAAGACAGAAACAGCAGGCTACTTGGATAGTCACCCAAAGAATCACAGCAGTGTAGGGGCAACCAGCTTTGGCTAAGGCCTAGAGTAACTGACTGACCAACACAGAAGCAGGGTGGTAGAAAAGCTATCTTACCCTGACTTGGCAAGGTTCAGCAGTCTTCTATGTTTATCTCCTGCAAGCACAATAGGATAGCAAGTCCAAAGTCAGCAGTTAAGGTGGGGACAGTTCTTTGCCCAAGAGGCCATTAGCAAAGGAGAATGAACTCCAGAAGGAGTGTCATCAGTGACCAAAATACTCTCAGGAACAGCTTGGTGCTGTCAGGAGCAATTGTGTCTCATGTCACTGGAGTACTAATATTAAAACATTTAAATGCCATATTCTGCAGGTCTATGGAATGTTTGAAGATCAAATATCTATGTCTGACTAACTCATAGATATAAGAAACACGGGTAATTATAATCCGTAATTCTCAGAAACATAGTTGTACAATGGCTGAAGCTTCCCAAAATAATTTAGCAAGGACAATGACTTCAAAAAACGTATAATTCTCAATAACAGAGATAGAACTGAAATGTCTTGACTAAAGGTATAACTGTAAAGTGCAATAAGGTGGCTATCACTACAGTGCAGAGCAGAGATCCTGTGTTCCTGAAGCATTTTCTATCCAAGCAGTTGCTAGTTCAGAAGTTGTAGCCACTGGACAGAGAAGCCTGTGGACCTAACAACAATGTTATAAGGCCCTTGTAGAAAACTATTAGCTTGAAGAACTACCAATCTAGCTAACTGCTTGGTGTTGTAAGCAAAGTTTATGAGAACACAGCCATCCCTGATAATTTAGAGTGTTTATAGGCACACACACACACACACACGCGCACACACGCACGCACACACAGACACACACACACACACACACACACACACTTTAATGTTTCAACAGAGCCTGAAATATCTATTTCCAAGTGACTGGAAACTGGAGGCAGAAGCTCATGAGAAGACAAATGGAGCAGGTCCAGAAGGAATAAAGTGAAACTAGCTGGAGAATTGGAATCTACACCCAATCCAATGAGCATTTAAAACTCTGGTTTTAATGTTTTCCTCAGTATATCAGATGTGGTGGGGAACTGAAAACTAAGTCAGAAGAAAATATCCACACTGAAGCATGGAGAAAAAAAAAAGCAGCCAAAACTGCAGAGAAAAGTTTAAGGACCTAAGAACAGGTGACAGCCCTGCTCAGAAAATGAGAGAAAGAATTGTAACATTTCAGAAAAACTGCAAACCAAAGTTATGGTTAACATAAATTAAAACATCTGTAAGCAGTAAAAATGCTAAAAATTACACAGAAAAATACTAAATCAGTGAGGGAGAAAACATACAATAACAACAAAACTGCAGTCAAACAGAACCTGGTTTCTCAGTGAAAAGGATGGACGTCAGACGAGGGTGGAATTGAGTCTTCACAACTCAGACAGGAAATCACCATCCTAGCGCCTCACATTCAGTGAAAATGTCACTGAATAAAGAGACATTTCTAAGGAAAAGGCAGAAGGATGTCACAAGAAATCCTACTCTGAAATAAACAAGAAGGCAAAAGACAAGGATTTCAAACAGAGGCAAAAACCAAATACCAGAAAGAAGAACATTCTGGAGATATAAATATGAGGTCAGCATGAATCAGCATTTGCCGTATGAATGGCATCTTAAGAGATTTTAAAGTAGATGCAATTTAATGCATTTCAAAAGTGATGAGCTGAAGAAGGGGTTAAGGAGAGAGGAGAGAAGATGGGAGGGAAGGGAATAAAGAAGATGATGGGGGAAACAGAAGTGAGGAAAGAAAATGGGGAGGGGAAGGAAGGGGGAAAAAGAGGATGGGGAGGGGAAGAGGGAGCCGGGAGGGGTAAGAATTAGAAAGGCCTTTCTTCTTAAAAGGGGTCTGCAAAGGCCTTAAAGAATCTGCCAGTGACATGAGAACAGTTAGTAAATTTAGGAATTTGCTGCATCTAAGGTCAATAACACAAAACAGTATTTATAAAAATAATCACAAAAGATTAAAAGCTAAATTTTTAAAAATGCATTGGCATTCAAACATAAAATACTTCACATAATATATGCTTGACTTGGTCAAATTAGAAACCACTTTGCTTTGACTTGAGGATTTCTTTATTAATTTTTAAGTTGGTAAAATGCATAAGGTTGCAGTACAGTAATAAAACTTATTAACTTGATAGAATTTAAGCATATACCTCAATATTGTTTTGTATGTTTCATTCATTTTTAAATGACTGCAAGAACAAGCATTATACAGTGGTGAATAAGCATCATAAACAGTGGTGATAAATGTGTAGTGCTGTGCTTTTATGAAAGCATTTTAAGAGTTATAATACATGATTCTTCAATTCCATAAAACTAAGGTAGCATTTTTACATATTTGCACGCCCTCCCCCCAGTTTTGTGCTTAACAGAAGCCAGCTGGATTTTGAGACCTTTTCTATGCTCAGCATACTGCAGAGTGCTACCCTGAAAGAATGTAAAAGAAGTCCCCACACAGACGGGCGGTTAGAAAAAAATAAAGGGCACTTTAATATTTGCTATAGACAACTTTGGACTTGTCATATGGCTGAGAGTCTTGGCTTTAAAACACATAGAAGAGAAAGGCAGTGTTTAAAGTTAGTCTAAAAGATACCACCTTAAGCAGAATCCCACAGCATGGCTCACTAGAATGACTACTGTCCCTGGCTGATTCAGTCTGACTTGACAGTAGCAAGGACGTGACTGACTGCCTACTAGGACAGGATACCCTGTTCAGGCATAGGAGCCCCACATCCTGAGTTATCGTTACTGGACAATGAAAGCTACAGAGCAGCTTCATCTCGGGACTCCTCTGGAGACTCCCACTTCACATTGGAAATGTATTTATACTAATTTTTTACAACTTTATTATTTAAATATTCACAAATAAATAAAAACATTGCACACCAAATGAACCAGACCCAAGGTCTGTGAGTTTCTATACAGTTAGAGTAGGTATTACAGAGGGGATTTTTTTTTTTTTGGTTTTTATGAGACAGGATTTCTCTGTATTGTTTTGGAGGATATGGGTCCAGCCCGGCCTCGAACTCACAGAGATCCGCCTGCCTCCCGAGTGCTGGGATTAAAGGCGTGTGCCACCACCGCCCGGCTACAGAGGGGATATTAAGCTAATTTTTATTCTAGTTCTGTCTTGGAATTTTTCTTTTGTTTTGGTGATAGATTAGTGCATAAAATACACTTGATACTAAAAGGATAAAATTTAATGTA